GCTAGAACTGGCGGTACGTTTTACTGATTACTATTCTGTTTCTGTGTGCGATTTTTCCATTGTTTCATTTGGCCTTATAAATATTTAAGTGTCATGACGTTTTGCTCTAATGAAACCTCCCTTGTGTTTTCAGGTGTGCGCTCAACAGATCGTGATGTTCATCACCCCGAGGCCAACTCGTACAACCACATCGACGCTGCCATACGCGGCGAGCTGAAAGACATTCGCACTCTGATGTTGCGAATTGAAAACCGGCTTCGTGTATCGGATGAGATCCACCAGACTCTGGCTGCTACAGTCAAGAATCTTCTCGAAATTGTGCACCAGCCGAGCTGGTGCAACGAGAAAACCATGGAAGTAAGTGTCAGTTATTTGCTTATTGTTTTGTCTGGCTTATGAGACATGTTCTAAACTCTCGTTCTTTTCGCAGGATGCCTGTAAGAAGGCGTGCGATGATTTGCTCAAGGGATCAGATGTCTCCCAGCGAGTCATTTACCCTGACGAAGAGCAGTTCAAGGCAGCCGTTGTGGTTCATCTCGCTCTGGAGCCCGAAGACTTCGGGAAGTTTAATGACTACTGGAAGAAGGGCGAGTGGGCGAAGAGGTGCACCGGCATTTGTAACGGCCGGCGGGGGAAACTCGGGAACAAGTCCCGGAAGGCGAGTTTCAAGCTGTTGAAGTACCCTGATGGCAGAGTCGTTCAAAACTCCGTTGAGGATCGGCGCAATTATGCTCGAGCCTGTGTCTCTGGTACGTGAGTTATATTATTGCTGTTGCTCTTGTTATGACTTGTTTGTGACTCTTGTGTTTTTAATTTCAGAGGAGTTTGGCCTGCCGTGGCATGTTGACGAGAACAAGCCGTTCTGTAGCGAGGCGTTCTTAGCTGCTGCAAGCAAGTGGCAGAAGAGAGAGGGGGGTGTCTACACCCTAAGCATTGACCAGCTGTGCTACACCATGGTCGCGGTGAGCGAACAAGCATTTTTAATGCTTTATCTTGCCGTTTTCAACCGGCTAATTTCGCTCTTTTCTTGACAGGTCGAGTTTGAGATGCTATGTCGTGATCGAAGCAGCATGTTTTCTGATTCCGAGAACAACACCCGCGAAATGGCCAAGAGGAAGTTTCAGGTTGAGAGATGTGTCACAAGTTAGAAGAAGAAAGAGGGTTGAACTAGCAGAAATGGGGACACAAATAGCAAACCCTAGAAGGGTTGTACTCGCTATAGAGCACCCCACTACAGGCTAGAACATAAGAATAACATTCTGACACACCCCCATAGCCAAAGTGGGGTGTAATCAGCAGAGCAAGCAAAGCAGTACAAGCTCAGGGTGGATCACAATGTCACCACACATTCTGAGCACAAGTTCAAGAAGCAAGTTCAAGTGCACAATTATCAGCAAAGCTAGTGGTGGTCACAACGGGCAAGTGAGGAGGAGGAGTGAGAGCGAGAGGAGTTGGGAGGCGACGGCTGAAGCTGCAGACACACGGGCAACAGGAGGCACACTGGCACAGCGGCTACCGGGCGAAGCCCCCGGACTACTGGAGTAACTGGCCCCGCGGCTAAAGTAGCGGCAGACGAGCAACGGACCCACGGGCGGCTGGCACAGCTGGCTACGACTGGGCTACCGGGCGAAGCCCCCGGAATACAGGTGCTGCTGACGACACGACGGCAACCTCCATGCAGCTTCCCTAACTATCCAACTCCCCCAACACACACCCGCTGATACACCCCTAGCTCCACTCCCACGCACCCCCCTTAAACCCTAAACCCGAGTCTCCCACACAACCACCCCCCTCAGCGACAGCTGCAGCAGTGGGAGACGGAGGAGGAGGAGGAGCAAAGGGAGGAAGGCCCACCGAGCACCCCCATACCCGCCACCCAACAGCTCGCCCCTCCCGTCGTCCGTCGTGGCGACCTGAGGGGGCCGCTTGCGGCCCCCGAAGGAGCCGCGACGGGCGACGGGAAATGGCAGGGAGGGGAGAAAAGGGGGGAGGGGGGGGGGGGGGGGGGGGGGGGGGGGGGGGCGATGCCGCGACGAGGGGCGGGGCCGCGACGGTCGGGGCCGCGACATAGGGCGGGGCCGCAAAGGTAGGGCGGGGCCGAGCCGGGCAGGCGCACGGGCGGCGACGGGCCGGGGCGGGGCCGCGACGTAGAGCGGGGCCGAGCCGGGCAGGCGCACGGGCGGCGACGGGCCGGGGCGGGGCCGCGACGTAGAGCGGGGCCGCGTCGAAGGGCGGGGCCGCGACGGTCGGGGCGGGGCGTAGGGCAGAAGCCCGCCGCGCGCCTCGGGGCGCACAGCGGGCAAAGAACCGCCGCGCGCCTCGGGGCGCACGGCGGGCAGAAAACCGCCGCGCGCCTCGGGGCGCACGGCGGGAGGAAAAAAAAAGTAGCAGCGGAAGCGAGGTGGGGACACACCCACAGGATCGATCCAAAGGGATCGACCTGCTCTGATAGCATGTCACAAGTTAGAAGAAGAAAGAGGGTTGAACTAGCAGAAATGGGGACACAAATAGCAAACCCTAGAAGGGTTGTACTCGCTATAGAGCACCCCACTACAGGCTAGAACATAAGAATAACATTCTGACAAGATGGGTCCGTCACGCTAGCATTCCACTAGTCAGTGGGTTCTACTATTTTGGAGATGTCATTGTTAAGGATTGACAGATGGTAGAGGATGTTTAGTAGCTTTATGTAGCTGTAGGTTTAGTATGTGATATTTTGTTGATTAATTTCTAACCAACTAGTATTGTAAGCGTTTAATATTATTTAATTATTATTACGGAATTGTTTTGATTTGTTGATAATAAACCCATTCGAAATTCTATTGATCATAATATTAGCAGTGTAGTTATCTCAATTAAATGTCGCCTTGTCACATCTCCAAAAGGAACAAATATCCACTAAACTATTCTTTATCGCTTTTATACATACGCATATTGTTATCACGCGGTAACCATCTTTAACAATTTTGTTACGCGAGTGGTTACAACTGAGCTTGTCAATTCTCGCCTGTGCGAGGGCCTCCTTTTCATTTCCGAAAGTAACAAACTAGATTACTCGCCCCAACTGACATGCAATGCGCAACTTACACATTTCAATCGCCTCGCAGGTTGGTTTCGGCAGTGCGCAGGTTGACTGCAGGGTGGTTCTGTTGCCCCACAATTACCCCCCAGTATTGAAAGCCGATTGACAGGACTCCCGAAAACGGGAGTCACCAGGAAGGCTTCCAGCTTATTGCTGGAAGCCACATTTCTTCGTGCGATGCTGTCACTGCTAGTACTAGGTGCATGATCCCTGCCAAAGAAGAATAAACGTTGTGCGTACCACGTTGCTATCTTCGGGTTTGGCGCAACGAGCAGGCCACGGCGACGCCACGGGAATTCCCATCACGGGGTGTGGCGGAACGGAAGGCGGAAAATGTTGGGGATGAGGCGGATCATATTGAGGGAGAGGCGGAAGGTATTGAGGGAGAAGCGGAACATTATATTGGGGAAGAGGCGAAACAGGGTGCGGGATAGTGGCTGCGTGGCCGGCAGGCGGGGTATTTGCGTCGCTAATCCGAGGCGCGGGTTCTGCTTCGACTCGTTCGGGCGTTGCAGATGTAAGTGGCTCTTCTTGCGACGCGCTCGCCAGGTTCGCTGTCATTGTGGCTAGACTTGAATGTAATCTTTTCAACGGACTAGACGGATGCATTTCTGCAATTGTGGGAGAAAGAAGCTGCGAGGTGTAGGCAAAATAGTGGTTGACAAAATTACGGAATCAACTCTGCTGGTGAAATTTCTACACCATCAGATGTGGAAAGGAGGGGAGGGAGGCAAGAAAGGGGTTGGTGGGGAAGGAGGGGAGGGGGGGTGGAAGGATCGCCGCTTGCAATGTTGCTGCGCGCGCAATGTGCGTCACTTGCGACCGAAAACTCAACGTGCGGGAGCACGCCTTGCGTCCAGGGCTGTCGATATCCCTGGGGGCAGAACTTGAGGCCCTCAGCTGCTGAAATTCTGACCCTGATTTTCAGGGAGGTGACCAAATTTTTGCCCTTAACGGTCATGGGTGCAGGCCGAAGTGTAAACTTGAAATCTGGGCTCCAAAGTGTTGTGTACTTAACTAACCTAAACAGCATCCTAGACAAGAGAATCACATACTCTCACTGCTAACTACTCCAGTCAACCTGTATGTCGCCACTTCCAACTACAACTACAGCTGCACTACCTACTGCATTTCTACTCATCTGCTGACTTCGACACTAGACACACACTAGATTGGATAGAAATCGAGTGAAACATCCTCCACCTAGCGCTCTATTGTGCAACTTTTATGGAAAGGGGGGGGGGGGTTAGGGGGGGGGTTGTTCCGCAAGATTTTGGGGGGGGGGCTCTGCGGAACCGAAAGTATATCTTAGATTCAGGGGACGGCCCAGATTGAGCACCTAACGCGTCCGGGGAGGGCTAAACGATGCCCTAAACTGGCACGGGTACCAGTCGAATCAAACCCTTAAAATGGTCGAGCTGCGCCGAACATAACCCGGAATGTTCAGGGCGTTAAGGGCAAATGCCCTTGAATCGACAGCCCTGCTTGCGTCGCCTGCCCCCCGCTTAGGTGGGTCGCCTGCGTTGCATCGCTGGCATGAAGTCCCGCGCGCTGACTCCAGCGACCGTACAGGTGATGATTCACTAACATAATGCTCAACATAGAACACGGTCATATGCAGTCAGAGTATGAACTCTCACATAGCAAACACATATGGTCTCTTTCCACCTTGTCTCCCTCATATTACAATACTTGTCCATGAGTGTCCATGTGATACTCAGGCTGTCTAAGAAGCCTCAGCCGTTAAAAGGCCTAGGAAATTCCCATTGGTTGGTGTGGGTATCCCAATGTGTTCCTTGTTTTGCGAACCAGAATCCTGGATATTTCCTTTTCCAAGGCATTCAATGCCTGCTGCTCAGCTTCCTGCTCCGGAGGGGAGGGGTCTTCCACAGCATACAGTGCTACCATATTTCACACTCTAAACATTCTGTTGTGCTGGTTGCATGTGCATGGTATGCAAGTGGTGTGACAGCTCACCCACCACCCACTGCTTCTCTGCATCACTCAAGGTCTTGCCAAACCGGTACTCCTCCTGCTCCATTCCAACAATCATGCACACCAGCTCTGGCGGCTTGGCTGCTGAGCGCGCGGCAGGGGCAGGCGGAGGAGGGATGGGACTTCGGGCAGCGAGGCTATGCACTGGCGGAGGTGGCAGCGGCTGTGGGGAGTTCAAGTTCTGCACCACAATGGCGCGCACCATTGGCGTGCTGCCCTGCTTCCGCTTGGTCGTGCCGGAGTTTTTGGTGGTGATGGTGAAGTGCTCGGGTGACAGCACAATGGTCTCCGAGCGAGTTGCGCTGTTAATCCATGCAAAGGAGCAACTGAGAGGGGCGAGGCACGGTCGGGAGCAGCACGGGCGCGGATGTAGAGAGAAAGAGAGGAGTGGGTTTGTGGTGTGAAAAGCAGGTAGTGGAATATTGGGACTGGACGCGTGGATGTGATGTGGAGCGCGCTGCGCGCATGTGCAACATGTGGCAAAAAGTGCGATGTGAGAAGTCATTGTGACATGCTTCAGCATATTAACATAAGCAGTCTGACCTCGGATGCAGGATGTGCAAGTATCCACTCAATTTCGGTATGCAAGCTACCTACTGAGATTCCGCGATGCACTCACGCAGTGAAGCCGCAGAGGATGCAGATGGTGAAAGGCAGGAAAATGGCGACCGCCACTGCGATTGCAATCTGCGAGGGAGGGGCGAGGTGAGAAGGCGGGGCGAGGTGAGAAGGCGGGGCGAGGTGAGAAGGCGGGGCGAGGTGAGAAGGCGGGGCGAGGTGAGAAGGCGGGGCGAGGTGAGAAGGCGGGGCGAGGTGAGAAGGCGGGGCGAGGTGAGAAGGCGGGGCGAGGTGCGAAGGCGGGGCGAGGTGAGAAGGCGGGGCGAGGTGCGAAGGCGCACGGTGGAGCGGGATAAGGAGAGGTCGGGTGAGAGGGAGGGTTGAACAGGGGGGTGATTGGGCGCGAGAGAGGGGGGATGGAGAAGGGAGGGGGACGATGACCGATAATCCCTTCGGTTTTGTTCGGTTGGAGGATTTGATTAAGACTCGGACCCTGTTTGGTGGGGAAGAGAGAGCAGGTGGGAAGGGGGATGGGAGGGGCTCAGATGAGAAGGAACACGACGCGATGTGAGGAGCTTGCATGCGACGGAATGCGGCGGGAGGGGATGCTGGTCGAGGCTTGCTCGGAGGGGCTTGCTGGGAGGGTCGCATGGGAGGGTCGCATGGGAGGGTCGCATGGGTGGGGTCGCACGGGAGAGTCGCATGGGAGAGGAGCGAGCGACAAGAAACGGAGAGAGAGAGAGGGCGGTTCAGAAGAAGCGCAGTGAGGGGGTGGGCCTGCAAGCAAGGAAGTGAGCAGGCGGCTTACGAGGAAGGGAGTGAGCAGGCGGCTTACGAGGAAGGGAGTGAGCAGGCGGCTTACGAGGAAGGGAGTGAGCAGGCGGCTTACGAGGAAGGGCGTGAGGATGCAGAGGATCCACCCCACGGCGCCGTCCGGGAAGAACCCCGCTGCGGGGATGCGCGCCTCGAGCGCCCCGCCCTCCTTATGCGAGATCACCTGCGGGCGGCGCAGCGGATAGGGGGACAATGGGCGCTGTTGAACCTGCCGTCGCCGGGTTTGGGTGGCGCTATATGTGCTCTAGCCCTGAGAGAGCAGAATGGCTACGTGCGGACCGACACGCGACGCGGGCAATGCGATGGGGGGAGAAAAACACGGAGATTCCTCAACGAGGCTCCGAGATTGCCTACGAGGCAAGATATAGTGTCTGGTACCCACGCGCGGCGCACTTGTGCTACTAGTAGCAGCGGCATGATACCTGCTATACAAGGAGAGACGTTGTGCGTACCACGCGGCTGTTCTCGGGTTTCGCGCAACGAGCAGGGAACGGTGACGCCACGGGAGTGCCCATCACGGCGACTGGCGGAACAGGTTGGGGGTATGGCGGAGCAGCTTGGAGATATGGCGGAGCAGGTTGGGGATAAGGCGGAGCAGGTCCGGGATAAGGCGGAGCAGGTCCGGGATAAGGCGGAGCATTTTGAGGATATGGCGGAACGTTTTGGGGATAAGGCGGAACAGGTTGGGGATAAGGCGGAACAGGTCCGGGATAAGGCGGAACAGGTCCAGGATAAGGCGGAGGTCCGGGATAAGGTGGAACAGGTTGGGGATATGGCGGAACCGGTTGGGACGATGCAGCCGCCGCCGTTTGTGGGTCTCTTTGCGGCGCGCTCGGGAAGTCCGCTGTCATTGTGGCTCTCGTCAATCTCCCTCTTTCGGCGTGCCGGATGGAAGCTCTCTTACAATGGTGGGAGGAGGAAGGTGCGACGCGTAGGGGAAATGGTGGCTTATGAGATGTAGGATGGGAATCGACTCTGCTGGCAAAACTTCTTTTCTACCAGCAGCAGTGTCGGCTTATGTGTTCCTGGGGAGGGGAGCAGGGAGGGAGGTGGGGGGAGGGGGGGAAAGGGGGGTTGGGGGAAGAGGAAGGGGGAATTGTGTTGGTTTCGCCGCTTGCCAGCCACCTTTGCGCCATGCGCATGTGTCGCTTGGAACGGTACACTATTTTTGACGTGCTGCAGCACGTCTTGCGATGCGATCCCTATTGGTTGATGTGGTTGTCCGTCGCCTTGCTGGAGCGTGGAGTCCGGAATATTAATAGTACCGGTATGCAGTGCAGAGTGTGGAGTATGCAGCATGCTAGTTATCAAGTAAAAGGTATGAACTCTTACTATAGCAAGCATTTTCACATTTCATCTATTGCTTCACAATGCCATTCTCTGTGCACTTTCTTTGAGTGGACATTGTTCACCAGAAGGCACGTGTAATTTGCAGAACCGTTATCGCACAACACGGCAATATACACCCTTGAAGCTAAAAAACAAGGTCTATGACTAAAAGAGACTGTGTACCGTACTGTATGCTAGCTCATGATTGGTAGAACGAACTTAACTCAACTGTTATTGCTGATAAACTAACTCGCCTCCTATGACCTGGCTTCAAATGCGTAACAGGTTTGCTGTTGGCTATGCAATCCCCTGTACTAGTAGCTTGAGGACTTGCGGATTTCCACTTGCCTGCCTTTCCATCCGCTTGCCATGCAGCCTGGAGCATGCTTCGGGGGCTTGCTGCTGCAGAAGGAACAGTCGAATTGTCTAGAGTGGAAGCGTGTGGAACACTCTCGCTTGCGGAACGGGAGAACCCTAGTCTGCTACCTGAGGTATGCAATGGAAATGGTTCCTGTTGGCGGCGTGGGAACACCAAAGAGTTGCATGTGCTGCTGCCTGCCAACCCCTTCTTACTGTTGAGTGATATTGTTGCTCGTGTGGCAACCACAGAACCTTCCCCCTCAGCACCTGATTGGTCCCACAGAAAACCCCTTTCCGCCTGTGTCCGCTGTTGGTGTCCGTTTCTTCGCTGGTTGATATGTATTTTCCCCAAGTCCATCACCGTCCGTATGCTTTCCATTTCGCTAACTCCAGTAAACGCCACATTCACCACTGCAGAATCGAGGCTCTTTCTACTCCGATTCTTCAACACAACGCAGGGCGCATTCCCTGAATGCCCCTTGACAGCAGCAAGAGGTCCTGACACTGCTGCTCTGGGACTTGGAAGCAGCGGTTCACCTGATATAATCCCGTCATTCGGAAGCATATCGGCACAGCCGGGCATATTGAAGCGCCCCTCATGCTCATCAGCAGCTGCCACACCACATGTCTTGTCGTTGGAGGTGGAAATGATATCGCCACCAGCCCATCGGAAACTGCTGTTACTCCCGCTATGAGACATGAACTTGGGGTTACAGCCTTTGCCAGTCCCAACCTTTGGGAAACAATTGCTGCTCGATCTGATGATACTGCTGCTACCGCTGTTCCGAGTCCCATCCTTGGCAGTACGAATGCTGCCAGACCTGACAATGCTGTCACAGCCACGACCGGCCTTGAGAAAACACCCACTTCTTGATCTAGCAATACTGCTACAGCCGCTGCCAGTCCCATCCTTGGGGCTACAACCGCTGCCAGACCCCATGATGGTGCTATAGGCGCTGCTGGTTTCGCCCTTGGGACTATAGCTGACTTGGCCAGGCCTGGAGAGCACTTTGGCGAAGGCGTTCGACACGAGGGCGCGCTCTGCGGCGCGGTGCTGCGCGACCAGCCCGTACAGCTTCACGAACTCCTCGTCCGACTCGTACCCCTCGCTCTCGCTCTCCCGTCGCACAATGCCCTCCCTCTCCCTGCCTTTCCCCTCGCGCCCCATCCTGGCAGGGACCGTTTGCTGCTCTCTCTCCACGGATGCCGCTGCAGCGGCATCAGACAGATAAGAAGGGACTGCGGGACGGTGCAGCGCGGTGAATGATTCTGCCCGGCTGAGCTCCACTGCGGCGCTCACGCTGACGCTGCGGGGGTAGTCGCCGCTGCCGCCCAGGGAGTACCGGCGAGCGCGATCCGTGCGCCTCAGCAACGGCGGCCCCGTGTCGAGCGACGCGATTTTCCTCGGCTGGCCTCTGTTGATGCTCGAGCCATGACTCACGCTCGTCTTGCTTCCACCGGCTTTCTCTCGGCACGCTGCAGAAACCGCATCCAGAGCGGGAGGATACCTTGTCTTGGGGCTGAAAGCTGAGCTGTCTTGCGAGGGGGTTGCCGTTGAGGGAGATAAGGGAGGGAGGTCGACGGGGCTGGTGGGAGAAGGAGAGCTTGTGGCACAAGGTGAAGTGAGCGGCTGAGCGCTGGCGGTGTTTGACGTGGAAAAAAGCGAAGTAAGGTCCGGCAGGGACGGCGAAAGGCGCATCCTTGGGGTTGCCAGCGTGGATGGCCGTTTGGGTGACTTCATGCTGCTGCTTGCGCTCCACCCGCCGCGACCATCCGAAACGGCATGGCTTCGCAAGGAGGATCCTTTTTCGCGGCCTTGGATCAATGGGTCTTCTAGAGCAAACATGACGGTGGGGGCCCCACGTGAGTCACAAGTCGAAAGTTGGGTTGCTTGGTGGGCTCACAGGATGCAAGAGCGACGGCCTTGCTCTGGTCATGGAGTGGCGTCGGTCTACCACGGAAGAGCAGCTGCGGTGAGCAAGTTCTAGGAACAACTGGAATGCCCATAGTGCGCTGTAGCGAGGTGAGCAGCAAGATTCGAATCCAAGCAAAGCTTGGGATTGGACGCGATGGCAGCAGGCGGTGCGCAAGAACGCAGAAGCGAAGGAGAAACATGACCGGGTGGTGGCGGCTAGGAGAGCTGTTGAACAGGTGAAGCCGCAGGCGCTGAGCCAGAGGGGAATGAACGGACGACGCGGATGCATCAGGCCAAGCCTGATGCCTCACGATCTCAAATCTTGTGCTACTGTGTCTCAATCCTCGACTCCACTCCCTTGATCTTGCCGAGCTCCGCGAGGAGCTGTTTGTGACCCGAGGGGGTCAGGTTGTGGCCAGAACACAACTGTCAGTCCCGCGCAACTGTAAAGGGTCACTGTAACAATGTATTCTGTCGTAAACTGTTCGTGAAAACCGACTTGGTCGCCGTGTTGGAACAGAAGCAGGCGCAGGTGGGTTCTGCCAGTCATGATAATCCACGGTGCTCCCTGATTCGCTGCGAACGAACGCAATGGCATTTTGATCGCGGGTACACGCCAATATTATTTCCTCCATGTTAAAACTTCGTATTTCACACAGATTGACGATGTTGCACATGTCGCAGCACACAGTATAGCGAACATCCCGTGGGTAACATCACCGCCCTGTGCCTCCTATGCTGCCCGTATGCTATCGTGTAGCCGACGTCAGGCGACACGGTCAACCGTAATATCTGAGCGTCTTCCTCATGACGGATGACGTCACCACGAGACGCGATGCTCATGGCTCCACCTCACAACATGACGGCCAGCCGATACTGCTGGCGTCGACCATCGCCGCGTTAGGAGGCCTCGGCCTGCCGCCCGACTTGGAGGGGCTCCTTACCCGCCGTGATGAGAGAGACTGCGGTGCTTCCGGCGGGGATGCTGGTTCCGCGGAACAGGCGGAGCGGAAGGCTCTGGGGGAGGAAATCGGAAGTCGGTGCGGGGATGCGGCGGAGGAGGTGCTCACGCACGAGGCGACCGGAGGCCACCGGAAAGGGCAGGCGCGCGGTGAAGAAGGATTGGCGGAGCGGAAAGCGCCCATCTTCCGCGTGGCCCCGCTGACGGGGCTAGTGCCTGCACACTTGCACGAGCACTGGGGAAGGCGGAGGCGTGTGGGGGGAGCGAAGGGGGAGGGGCGGTGGGTGTCGGAGAGGGCGAGTGAGGAGGAGAGCGTGGTGGCAGTGGGGGAGGCGGGGCTGAGGCGACTGGGGATGTGCGCTGGGGACATGGTGAGGGGATGGGGGACATGGTGAGGGGGATGGGGGACATGGTGAGGGGGATGGGGGACGTGATGAGGCGGTGGGGGGAATGATGAGATGGTGGGTGGCATGAACGGCAGGTGGTGACTTGGGATCTTGCTGCGCGTGTCTCGCTGTGAGCATCACTTGCCGTTAGCTCAATGCCTTGCTCTCCCGCTTCTTGAATCTCCTCTTCCCTCCCCCCCCCCACTTTCCCCCACACCCCGGCAGGTGGCGGTGGCGCTGCTGCCATGCGCGCCAGGCGCACTGGCCGCCCAAGTCATGCCCGCGCGCCTGCTGTTGTGGCGAGAAGGGGCGCGGACGGGCAGTGCCGGCAGGCGAGGCAGCAGGCGCAGGAGTAGGAGTGGGGCTGGCGGGGGCACGGCGTGGGTGTCGCCGCTGCTGGGGTTCAACCTGGGCCTGCCGGGGGGAGTGATGGGTGGGTGGGAGTGCAGTGAGGGGGCGGAGGGGAACGATGAGCTGGGCGAGTCTGCGGACGAGCAGGGGAGTGAAAAAGAGGAGGAGGAGGAGGAGGAAGAGGAGGGGGAGGAGGAGGAGGAGGAGGAGGAGAGGCAGGGAGCGTTCAGGGCAGGGCGGGCAGCATGGGCGGGCATCCGCGTGCTCATTCTGCCCCTCCCGGCCCTGCCCTTGCTCGAGGCCTCCTCCATGCAGCCCCCCCTGGCAGCGGATGCGGATGGGCGCACGGCGGAAGGGCAGATGGCCGTGCGCGTGGGCGTGGCCAGTGTGGTGCGCCTTGCCCCCGTGCGCTGCCCCTCCGCCCTCCCCCCCTGGCACGCTGTAGGGGGAAGGGGAAGAAGGGGGGAGGGAGGGCGGGGGGGAGAGAGGGGAGATGGCAGTGGGGCGGTGGGAGGGGGGATGGGGAGGAGAGGGAGGGGGAAGGAGGGGCATGCATGGGCCAATAGGCATGTGCCACGTCATGAGGAGAGAGAGGGGAGGCAGGATGGGGAGGAGCAACGCGAGCATGCGGGCATGGGTGGGGAGGAAGGGTCAGAGGAGGAAGGGGAGGGGGACGAGGAGGAGGAGGAGGAGGAGAGGGCGTGGGAGAGGGAGGCGAGGCAGAGGGAGGTGGACGAGGGGGTGCGGCGGGCTGTGGTGCGGCAGCGGTTCGTTGCGGTGGGCGCGTGTTTCCTCACGGTGCTGGGCGGTCGAGAGAGCGTGGCTCGCATGGTACGATCAGTTATAGTGGGTCGAGGGGCAAGGAGAGGAAGGGGGGGCGGACGGGAGGAGGAGGAACGGGGAACAGAAGAGGAGGAGGAGGAGGAGGAGGAGGAGGAGGAGGAGGAGGAGGAGGAGGAGGAGGAGGAGGAGGAGGGGGAGGAGAGGGAGGCACGGGTGGTGTATCTGAGGGTGATAGCAGTGCACCCCCCCGGCAGCACCATCTACGCCATCCACCCCCACTCCACCCACCTCCTCCTCTCCGCCTCCCTGCCCTCGCCCCTGCCACCTGTCGCGCTGCGATTCGCCGGGGATCTAGCAGGGTATCCCCTGCCGCCCGAGGCTGGGCGGCTGGTTCGGGTGCTGGCTCCAGCGCTGCTGCCCGTGGGGTGGGGGAGGGAGGGCGGGGAGGGCGGCGGAGGGAGCAGTGTGGTGGGGGGCATGGCGCCATCCGCGTTCAGCTGCGCACTGCTGCTCGTTGGGCCCTCTGGTACGCGCTGCTGCTGCTGCTGCTGCTGCTGCTGCTGCTGCTGCTGCTGCTGCTGTGTGCGCACGTTTGGCGCGTGTGTTGAATGATCCATGTGTCACGAGGCTCACTAGCAGCGACAGCAGTATGTGCTGCCCGGCCACACCAGGAGAGTTGTTCTAGCAGCACACTGCACCCCAAGCACGACCCACCCACACGCCATCCAACCCACACTCATAGCCCACCTGCACCCCACCCACACACCTCCCCACAATAAATTCCCTCCCCCCCCATGCGCGGGTCACCAGGAGTGGGGCGGCGAACAGCAGTGCGGGCGGCGTGCCAGCGCATGGGCGTGCACTGCGTGGAGTACAGCAGTGCCGACCTCGCTGCCTCCTCCAATGAAAGCGCGACAGCTGGCGCTCTGCAAGCCGCCTTTGAAACAGCGAGCCGGTGAGAAGTGGCAGTGGGCTGGGCTGGTGGGGTGTCACTGTGACATTGCATCCGACAGCTTGTGCTGCTGTCCGTCTGTGCCTGTTTTGAAGGGGAGTCCTGCCTGCAACATGACAGCAGGCGGGTGTTCCACCCTCCATCCCATCATCGCACCGCTCTCCTCGCCTCATCTCCCTTGTCCACCATTTCATGTCCACCGCCTCCCTTCAACCCCTTGCCACCCCCTCAGCTACTCGCCAGCAGTGCTGCTGCTGCGCCGCTTTTCCGCCCTCCTCACGGCCTCAGACGCCCCCGACGCCTCTTCCTCCGCCGCGCTGTCTCTGCTCGCCCACACGCTGCGCGGCTGCATCCGCTTCTTCTCCCGCCCCCATGGGCCTTCCAGTGCAGCCCCACCCCCCTTGCACACTGCACCAGCCGCAGCTGTAGCAGGAGGGGGAGGTGGAGGGGGAGGTGGAGGGGGAGGGGGGGTGGCGGTGGTGGTGGTGGCGTGTGTGGAGGAGGGGGAGGCGGAGGGCATGGGCGTGGCGGTGAGGCGGTGCTTCACTCACGAGCTCGCTGTGGGGCCGCCGGATGAGATGCACCGCCACCAGCTGCTGCGCTTCTTCCTCAAGGTGGGTCCCGGGCGACAGACTGAATCACCTCCTCCCTCTCCTCTCGCAACTGCCTCCACGCATCCATCTCACCTCATTGCCCCTCCCTTTCTTCTGTCCTTGCTCACTTCCCATTGCTTCCCCCATGTCTCTCCCCACCACCACCACCGCCTGTCCCCAGAGCCCTCCGTCCAGCGCTACAGCCGGGGACGAGGAGGAGGACGTGGCGGCGGCTGTAGCGCGGGAGACGGCGGGGCTGCTGCCGCGCGACCTCAGGGCGCTGACCGCCGACGCTGCTGCCGCTGCCATCTGCCGCTCGCTGCCCCCCGGGGGAGCTGCCATGCAGACGGCTGTGGGCAGTGCAGGCGTGGCAGAGGGTCGGGGTGGGGAGGATGGCAGTGCGGAGACGAGCAGCGGATGCGAGGGGGAGGGGAAGGCGGAGGTAGAGGGGGTCAGGGAAGTGGAGGGCGGAAGGGGAGCGGAGGGGATGGCGGGGGGGCTGGCGGTGGGGAGGGGCGACATGGAGGAGGCGATGGGGGCGGTGAAGCGGCGCGTGGCGACGGTGATCGGCACTCCCAAGGTGCCCAACGTGCGGTGGGATGACATCGGTGGGCTGGAGGACGTCAAGGCTGCCATCCTCGACACCATCCAGGTGATTCCCCAGGCTCAGGTGCCTTCCACAGCAAGCAGGTGAACTTTGTGCCGTAGGCCTTTCATTCCCTCCCTTGATTCCGCACCCCATCGTGTGTGTGTGTCCCCTTTCTCCTATCCCATCTCCCATCCCCCCCCGCACCCGCACAGCTGCCGCTGCGGCACCGGCATCTGTTTGCGTCTGGGCTGCGGCAGCGCTCCGGTGTGCTGCTGTACGGCCCGCCGGGCACAGGCAAGGTGAGTGGTGAGGGGTGGCAGCGTGGAGAGAGAAGGCACGTTGGGGGTGGGGGGTGTGTGGGGCATAGGAGGACACACAGGAGCATGTCATGCGAGTCAATGGGTGTTGCACCCTTTGGTGAAGGAGCTCACATTCTTCACACTGCTTGCGCTGCTCGTTTTCTTCCAAGGCAGTGCATCGTTGTGCGAGCGATTGACTGCCAGCCAAGCAATGGGACACCATGCTTGCACCGCTCCCCCATCCGCCTTCACCGCACCACCATGTGCACTGCCTCCCATCAGACGCTGCTGGCCAAGGCGGTGGCAACGGAGTGCTCGTTGAACTTCCTGAGCGTCAAGGGTCCGGAGCTGATCAACATGTACGTGGGCGAGTCGGAGCGCAACGTGCGCGCCATCTTCGCCAAGGCGCGCGCCGCCCGCCCTTGCGTCGTCTTCTTTGATGAGCTCGATGCCCTTGCGCCCGCCAGAGGGGTTGCTGGGGACTCAGGGGGTGTCATGGACCGCGTTGTCTCCCAGGTGGGCCTCTGTTGTCTACCAGGTGGCCCTATGTTGTCTCCCAGGTGGGTGCCTGTTGTCTCCCAGGTGGGTCACTGTTATCTCTCAGGTGGGTCTCTCTTGTTACAGGTGGGTCTCTCTTGTTACAGGTGGGTCTCTCTTGTTACAGGTGGGTCTCTCTTGTTACAGGTGGGTCTCTCTTGTTACAGGTGGGTCTCTCTTGTTACAGGTGGGTCTCTCTTGTTACAGGTGGGTCTCTCTTGTTACAGGTGGGTCTCTCTTGTTACAGGTGGGTCTCTCTTGTTACAGGTGGGTCTCTCTTGTTACATGTGGGTCTCTCTTATTACAGGTGGGTCTCTCTTGTCACAGGTGGGTCTCTCTTGTCTGTAAGGTGGGGTCTCTGTTGTCTCACGTGCATTGAAGAAGCAAGCGATGATGGCAAGGCGGGCATATAACAACGGTCTCCACATTCTCTCACTCACTTTCCCTCCCTGCCTCCCACATACCCCTGCTTATCTCTCTCTTCCCCCTTGCCAGCTGCTGGCTGAGGTGGATGGCATAGGGTCCACGTCAGCATCGGATCTATTCCTGGTGGGCGCCAGCAACCGCCCCGACCTCATCGACCCCGCGCTGCTGCGCCCGGGCCGCTTCGACAAGCTGCTCTATGTGGGCGCTGGCTCCACCGCTCTGCACCGGTGCAGGTGGGACTAACAGGGATGGCTTTCGAGTGAAGAGGGAGGCAGTACACACTGAAAAAGTGTACTTTGTGCTAAAAGTGTGCAGCAGAAGCCCTCTCACTGCACTAAAATCCCTCACCCTCTCTCTGCCCCATGCATTCTCTCCCTCCACCCACCCCCCCTCCCCCCCCCCACGCGCCCCACAGGGTGCTGCAGGCGCTGACACGGCGCTTCCAGCTGGCAGGGGGGGTGTCGCTGCAGAGCATCGCCGACCGCTGCCCCGCCACGCTCACGGGTGCCGACCTCTACGCCCTCGCTGCCGACGCGTGGCTCTGCGCTGCCAAGCGCACCGTGGGGCACGCCAACACACCAGGCCGCTCTGCTGCACGCTCCAAGGGGCACGGCGTGGAAGGTGGAAAGGAGGGTGAAGGGGACGATGCGGTGGTGGTGGAGCAAGCAGACTTCCTCAAGGTACTTGCCACTCCCTCCCCTTGCCTCTCCTCTCTTGGCATTCTTGTGGCATTCAGGTGCCCCGCCTCCCTGCCCACCTCGATCTGCCATCCTCCATTTGGTTTCCATCGAATTCATTTCTCTTATGTGTCACGTATTCATTTTCTGCCAGGCCTTGTCACAGCTGACCCCCTCATTATCGGCGTCAGAGCTGCATCGCTACGAGGCTTTACGAGAGCAGTTCCAGCCAGCAGGGCGAAGCCGTGTCGCGGCTTAGGCAGCTGATGGCATGTCTAAAGTGTTCAGTTATATGACAAACTCGCTCACATTACATGATCTACTACGCTGGAAACTGATAAGTATTCTGCTTTTCTGTATAGTTGTTACGAGTGCAATTGAGTGAACGATCGAGAATTGCACTATCGAAGCAAAGAGTACAATGAGCGAAGGCATGAGCGAAGGATTATATAGCGAAGCAATAGTGGTAACGGTAATGGACTGTGGTTGTCGCGCGACGAGCCTGGGGCTGAGGTTGGGAAAATGTCGAAGCGTAGGCCCGGAGCGCGGGTTACCAGCCGAGCCGTGAGGTCGGGATGCGATGTGCGAAGAGGGCGGGATAATGAATGATGCGATGGTCGTGAGTGGTAACGGTGCTGACTGAGGTGCTACAGTGACGTACGCGTTGAGCAGGGACGCGAAGTAAGGAAAAGGGAATTTCCTTACACTACCCCCCTCCCCAAGGAGGCCCCTCTTACGAGAGCGCATGGACGTCGCGGAAATTTCGGCTTCGCAGATACTCGGGGAAGACAGGGTGGTTCTCAATTTTATCCAGGGGGACCCAGTTGTCTTCTGTGGGCGTTCGGTCCTTCCAGCGAATTAGGAACTCTATCCTTCGGGCTCCCCGAGGGTCGCGGACTCGGTGGCTGAGGATTTTTTCAGGGGTGATGAGTGGTTCGGTTGGGGGACGTGTCATGCTGGCTGGGCGATTTCGTGGCAGTTGGCTCGTGGATGGGATGTAAGGGCGAAGTAGGCTGACGTGGAATGACGGGCTGACGTACCAGTCAGCAGGGAGGAGGAGGTGGGCGGTGACGGGTGTGATCATGTGGCTGATGCGGAATGGCCCACAATACCGGGGGCGAAGTTTTGGAGTGATGGGCAGGCGAAGATTCTGAGTGTCGAGTAATACGAGGTCGTCGGGCTGATAAGTAACGGGTCTGCGATGTCGATCGGCGTTACGTTTAGCGATGATGTTTGATTTTTTGATTGCTTCTGCTGCCCTGGTCCGTGCTGCTTGCAGAATCTCGGCGAACTGTTGTGCTCGTGGGACTGGGTTGTCGGGATTCGGTGTCATGGGTACTGTTGGGTCCTATCCGTAATTCAGATAAAACGGCGACTGTTGCGTCGTGGCTGATGGTGCGTTATTGTATGCGAACTCGATGAGTGGCAGCTGCTGTTCCCACGTATTCGGGTCGTCGCACGTGGCTCGAATCAGCTGCTCCATGGTCTGATTTGTCCGTTCCGTCTGTCCGTCGGTTTCGGGGTGATAGGATGAACTGAACTGTAAGCGCGTGCCGAACTGCTGCCACAGGTTCCGCCAGAAGTTGCTGGTAAATTTCGTGTCCCTGTCGCTGATGATCGACGCGGGTATCCCGTGCAGTCGTACGACGGTGGAGATGAATAGTCGGGCGGTTTCTTCGGCTGTGATGGATTTCCTGCATGCTGCGAAATGAGCCATTTTCGTTAGTCGATCGACGACGACCAGGATCGCGTCATTCCCACTCGCCCCAGCTGGTAACCCCGTGACGAAGTCCATCGTCACCTGCTGCCAAGCACGCTCTGGAGGCGGGATGGGTTGTAATTGCCCCGCTGGTCGCTTCCTGCTTGACTTCATGAGCTGGCAAGTGGGACACGATGCCACGTGTCGTTGCACATCAGTCAACATTTCTGGCCAGTAGTAGTACCGCTGCAGCTGCTGCCGTGTTTTTTCTACCCCGAAATGTCCCGAGGTAACTCCGTCGTGTGCTTCCTGTAACAGTAGTTCCCGCAGTAACGTGTATCCCGGTACCCAGATGCGGTCGGTTCCAGTTTTTACGTAATAGACTCCTTTTGCCGCTGCGAATTGCTGTGAGTTGCCTCCTGTAAAGAACGGGTCTGTTTGATATCCGTGGGTAAATAGGCCGGTAAGCAGTGGGCTGGTCTGGGCGAGTAGTATCGCGTGGATCTGGGCAGTGGGGCGGGTCAGTGCGTCGGCGATATTCGATGCTCCTTTTTTGTATGTGACCGTATAGTGAAAATTCGACTCGAGGAAATCGAGCCATCGAATCTGTCGTGGGTTGAGGTGGGGCTGTGCGCGGAGGTACTGTAGAGATCGGTGGTCTGTCCGTACTGTCACGTCTGCGCCAGTCAAGTAGCAGCGCCAAACTTTGAATGCATGCACGATCGCGAGCATTTCGCGGTCGTGTATCGGGTAATTTCGCTCAGGCGGATGTAGTTTTCGTGATTCGTAGGCGATGGGTTGGAGGCCGTTGCCGAAGTCCTGTAACAGTACAGCTCCGATGGCGATGTCACTTGCGTCGGTAACCACTTCGAAAGGGCGGTGGGGATCAGCGATACGTAGAACGGGTGGTGAACAGAGGACGTTTTTTAGGGCAGAGAAGGCAGCATGCTCTTTCTCCCCCCACGTAAAAGCGACCCCCTTACGCAGTAAATCAGTTAGTGGGGCTGTTAAACATGCCATGTCGGGCACGAACCGTCGAACGTAATTGACAAACCCTAAAAAACTCTGCAGTTCCGTGATGTTCGTCGGGGGGCGCCATGCTTTTACCGTATCCAGCTTCTTTGGGTCGATCTCAACCCCAGCCTCGGAAATGACGTGACCTAGAAACTCTAGCCTATCCCTAAAAAACTCGCACTTGGAGCCCTTGGTGAGCAGCCGATGTTCCTCTAAAACCTTAAAAACTGCTTCAAGATCTGCTAAGTGTTGCTGCTTATCCCGACTGTAAACGAGGATATCGTCGAGGTAAACGATCACGCATTTATCTAAAAGTGGTCTAAACGCCTCGTTCATGGTCATCTGAAAAGTCGCAGGCGCGTTCGTCAACCCAAAAGGCATTACTGTATACTCGAATGACCCGTACCTAGTCCTAAATGCTGTTTTTGCGCAGTCCGATGGTTCGACCCGAATCTGATGGTAACCTCCCCGTAAATCTATTTTCGAAAAGACACGTGCTGTTCGCAGTTGGTCAATCAGTTCGTCGGCGCGGGGGATGGGGTATCGCGATTTGACTGTTACTCGGTTAAGCGCTCGGTAGTCGATGCACATGCGAAAACCTCCGTCTTTTTTCGGTGTGAACAGTATGGGTGCGGCGAACGGTGACGAGCTTGGTCAAATAAACTGCTTCTCTAACAGGTAATCTAACTGCTTCCTTAACTCGTCGAGCTCGGGCTGTGTCAGTCGAAATTGCCGCTGTACTGTTGGCTGTGCCCCCGGTTCTAGCTCGATCCTATGGTCGTGCGCTCGCTGAGGTGGCAGTCCCTGTGGTAAATCATCCGGAAATATCCCCGGGAACCGTTTCAGTAGTGCCTGTAATTCGGTCGGTACGGCTGCTAGCAGTTTCTGTAAATCATTCTGCTGCTCGTCTTTTTCTACCACTGCGATATCCACTGCGTACACGTCAGCTCCAGCAGCGACAGCCCGTTTCATCGTGATGGCGTTGACCTGGACTGTCGAAGATTCGGGTGGCCGCCAGCGAGGTAGGACGACCCAGTTACCGCTACTTCGCACTGTGCAGCTCCCCGTCGTCCAGTCGATCCGTGGGTTGTACCGTCGCAGCCAATCACGTCCCAGTAATATCTCGTGCCCATCCAGCGTCGTTGCGAGCATTTCCTGTGTAAACCCGAAGTTTCCCCCGCAGCGGACTTTTACTCGCTCCACTTTTTCTCGTATGGCCAATGGTGTGCCGTCGACTAAGCGTGCATCTATCTCAGGTAAACATCGGTTAAGTATTAACTGTAATCTCCGTGCGGTTGCAGTATTAACTAAGCTGTGACTTGCCCCTCCGTCAATGAAGATTTTCACTGCTGCTCCCTGTATTTTCCCGTAGATCAGTACCGGGCAATCCGTCGCTGTACCCTCCTTATTCATCCGAGCCCGATCGATGGCGTGAATCGGTACTGTGACTCGGTGAGGGTCGGTGTGGTTGGGCGAGCAGGCAGTCTCGTCAGTAGTTGGCCCAACTTCTACTGACTGCTGGCGTTTCCCTGCCTCCGAGACTCCTTCCCCTGCTCTGCTCCTCGACGCCTCAGCTCCTCTGGACATTCGCTTTTGCGATGGCCCGGCCGGTTGCAAGCAAAGCAGCGCCCTCTAAATGGCGTGGCAGCTGCATTCGTTGCGACGGCATGTACAGTGGCGTGCTCGATCGGTCCCCGAGGACGATGTCCGAAATAGGACCCCGGTCTCGGTCGGCGTAGGATATCGATTTTCTCGGCGAGCGCGAGGATTTCGTTGAAATTCGATAGCCCGCGTAGCATTATCTCGTGCGATATGTCCGGCTTCAGCCCTCCGACGTAACGGTCCACCCGCTCCGCCTCGTGCATGTAGCCGACCTGTTCGCAAAGTGCGAGAAAACCGCTGGTGTAGTCTTGAACCGACCCGAGCTGGCGCCAAGTGCGCAGTTTCTGACGCGCCGAAATCGAAGCCGCGATCGGCTCAAAACGCGCCCGAAGCCCTGCGCACCACGCATCCCACGTGCTGTATTGGGCTGTTTCGCAGAACGAACTCCAGGTGACAGCTGGACCCGAGGGCCCTTCCTCGTGCGACGGTGGCTCGTAGGCGCGTGGCGACGTCACGATGACTCGCCACCAGTCCATGGCGGGGCCCCTGAGTAGTGAAACCGCATGCCGAATCTTGGCGGCGTCCGACTCGACGTAGTTGGCGTCGAAAAACACATTCATCGTGAAGACCCACGATTGAACTGTCGGGCCGCCGCGTTGGCTTGGGTCGAAGCAGGGCGGGCGTTGCGGCTTGAGTGGCATTGGGGCCATCATGGTGTTTTCACCACTTGTCGTCGCAAACTCCACGTGCCGACGGGCTTCTCGGGGCTCCCGTGGGCTTAGCGTGCTCCTGTTCCCTCCCATGCCGGGCATCGGTTGGGCTGCGCCGTCACTGGCTGCGCCTGAGCGCTGTCCCGTGCTGTTGTGTTGCGTTGGTGTGCCGGATGAAATGATAATCGGCTCCTCCGAATGTACTGAGACATTGGTTGGTGCGTGGGATGTTGTCGGAGCATTCACCGTTGACTGTTGACGAGCGGAGTCACGTTCCGCCGTGAGCGTCGCGATTTCAAGCGCCGAATCCTCCAATTGTCGCACGAGACGATCGAGTTGCTCCTGCGTCAACGTGGCGAGATTGAGGTCGGCCATGGCGGGGGTGTCGGGCAAGCTCAGCGAGAGCCTCGGTCGTGGCCGTGCGTGCTTGCGAGAGAGCACTACGAGCGGCGGTGCTGTGTCGCTGAGAGACGTCTACCCCCCCCAAAAAATTGAGATAGTGGGAAGCGAAGGTGTGGATGCGGTCCGAGATGAGATCGTAGGCTCTGATTACCAAGTGTTACGAGTGCAATTGAGTGAACGAACGAGAATTGCACTATCGAAGCAAAGAGTACAATGAGCGAAGGCATGAGCGAAGGATTATATAGCGAAACAATAGTGGTAACGGTAATGGACTGTGGTTGTCGCGCGACGAGCCTGGGGCTGAGGTTGGGAAAATGTCGAAGCGTAGGCCCGGAGCGCGGGTTACCAGCCGAGCCGTGAGGTCGGGATGCGATGTGCGAAGAGGGCGGGATAATGAATGATGCGATGGTCGTGAGTGGTAACGGTGCTGACTGAGGTGCTACAGTGACGTACGCGTTGAGCAGGGACGCGAAGTAAGGAAAAGGGAATTTCCTTACAATAGTAATGTACAAATATGTTCTCCCAGTGTTGCTGTAGTCATCATGCTTCGCCACGCACAGAACCGTGAAGTGCACCCACGTCATGCCAAGAAGATCCACCCTTTTCGGCAAAATTATCTGGGCGTTGAGTTTCGACTCTGTTTCACTCCGCTCAAATCATGTTTTCCCATCACGTGTTGGTGGTCAGACCACCAAGCTTGTACCTCATCATTTCACGAAACCACTTCAACCCGGAACCAAAACTTTTTCCCGTAGGTGCTTGGGAGAAAAACTGCAGAAGGGGAAACCGGAAACTCCTGCACCGCAATGCGCGTCTGGAAACATTGCAGCTTTCGACCCAACGACCGCGTTCCCTGCCAGGTGCCCAACCTTGGTGTCTACTACACCCTCATTCTCAGTCTTCTCACCGGCGGAAGCAGTGGCTACAGTGTTTGGACGTAGCGGGCTGGTGAGATAACTCGGTTGCGGGCCAAGTCGCACGAGGCGACGAAACCAGACTTGGGCCGTAAATTTCCGTTAACGCTGAATAACTTTTCTAACCGTTTAGAAAACAGCAGTACCATTCTAGAACGTATAGAACCTTGACTAAACGCCCTGGGTCAAACTGTCAGTATAACGCATGTGATACGACCTTCTTTGGTCCGCTGCTGCTACACTAAGCGTCTTCGTCAGTATAACATATGCCAGTCTAACGAGAACGAGGGTGTAGTTGGAGCTGTTGAGGTGCCCAACAGCCACGCTGACCAGAGAGGGAGCACAAGAGCTCTCCAGCGGAACTACCTGAAGCTTGCTTCAAGCCAGTAGAGCTTCAATTTCATCAGCCCGATGTTCATTGATGCATTTTGGGGAAAGATAGACGGAAATACCGCTACCAAATTTCCGTCTCTTGATGGCCCCAGCGGTTTTCGTTTGATCAATAATTCAGGCGTCGTTCAAGCCAACTTTGGGCTAGGCGCTACGAATGCTGGATTATCTGTCTGGTTTTCAACATAAGTGCAATGGCTGAGCGGAGCGGCACGTGCTTGCAAAGACTATCGCTGTTTCACTTGTTGACGTTTCTGCTATCGCTTCTGGTCTCACACAGCATCACCTTTACGAATGCTGGCGCGTCGGAGAATGACGGTCAGTTCAATCCCCCCCTACGCCACTCGTGTGTCTCCATATGGAAGATCCGTTCATTAGGTTTTCGGAATGTGACTGAAGAAATCTTATTGAATAGTATGACCACGACTGGTGACTGTAGCGATAAACATCGTGAATGCGGCAAGGCAACGTTACCGCATTGCACCGAGCAGAACGGTATCAGTCGCAGTTTAGGGTCACGGAGAGCCACGGACAATGTCGGCGCGCAGCGAATGAACGTGACCCGCCTGAGACACGTGGCAGCGAGCGCGTATACTGGTGCACGTGGACCTCGCAGCCGACGCAGTCTCGACGCCCCATTGCGCCACCATCTCACGCATTCCATTCCGGCCTTACGCTTTGGCCCTACCTCCCCCACCTCCCCCACCTCCTCCCCCCCCCCTTCGTTCCGCCTCCCCCGAGCGCAGTGCGCGCGCTGCTGGACGTGCGCGCGGCGCTGAAGGAGGCGAACCCGGCGGCGCTGGAGTCGTGGTCGGAGAGCACGGACCCGTGCGGGGGGTCGTGGGAGGGCTCCTTCCAGTGCGACGACAACGGCCACGTCACCTTCCTGTGAGTCGCCATTCATGTGAGCGCCCGCAGGGTTGACTGCGCGCGTGAAGCCGTTCCGCCCAGCCCCTCATTCATTCCCACCTCGCTGCTGCTACTCGGGTCCCCCCATACCCAGTCCGCGCCCTCTTACATCTCTTCCCCCCTCCCCCCCAACCCCCACAAAACATCCCCCCTCCTCTCCCGCGCCCGCGCGCAGGTCGCTAGCGCAGAAGCAGCTGCACGGGCCCATCCCCGGCGTGCAGCTCGCCGCGCTCACGGCTCTCAACTACATGTACGTCCGCATGTCGCGACAATGCACGCCGCCCACGCGCATGGTAAGCGCCCCACACTGCTCGTGCGAGCGCGTTGGCTCGCCTCGGCGCGCTTCTCAGCGACAGGTACTGTCGACGCTGGGAGGGAGGGGTGCGGCAGGCGGAGCAGCACGGAATGCGGCAGTGCAGGTTCAGGTTCAGGCGGGGAGAAGCACGGCACAGACCTGCTTGCACTGACGTGCTCGGCTCGCTGGCCCTCCTCAGCTCTTGCCCACCCCGCCACCACCACGCACCATTCCCCTCCCTTCTCCCTTGCCCCTCATGCTCTTCGTGCCTCTCACCCGCCGTCCGCTCGCCCCCATTCCCCCGTGTGCGCAGCGACCTGGCGTCGAACTCGTTCACGGGCCCCATTCCCGAGCAGCTGCTGCGACTCACCTCGCTGCAAATCCTGTGAGTGCCACGGTGCCGCCGCTCATACACGCACTGTGCCGCCGCTCATACACGCACTGTGCCGCCGCTCATACACGCACTGTGCCGCCGCTCATACACGCACATCCGAGCTTCTCAGCAGCAGCACTCAGGCCCAGCCCAGGACATGCCCTCACTCCATGCAGCCCTTAGTCCATCCTTTTCAGACGTCCCATCTATGCTCTATGCTACAATCCCATGCCATGCCATCCCATCCATGCCATCCCATCCATGCCATAACATCCATGCCATCCCATCCATGCCATAACATCCATGCCATCCCATCCATGCCATCCCATACCATGCCATCCCATCCATGCCATTCCTCTCCCAAACCACCCCTCCCCCCCCCACCCCACGCTTGGCGGGCAGGTCACTATCGTTCAACCAGCTATCGGGCACGCTGCCAGCGGGCTTCAGCCAGCTCCAGGCGCTCAAGCAGCTGTGAGCCGCGCGGGACGGGGGGAGTGGGCAGGGCGGGTGGGGTGGGGGCACAAGGGGTTGTCTTGGCAGGCCCTGTAGCTTCTGTAGGAGCGTGCATGGCAGCACGTGGATAGCATTCCACAGGGAACACATTACCTGCCCGTTGACACCCTCTGTCGTGTGTGTGCCCCTCTCTCTCTCTGTGCACATGCATGTGTGCATGCATGCGAGCAGGCAAGTGGCAGGCAACCAGCTATCGGGCGAGCTGCCAGCGTCACTCTCCTCGCTCTCCAACCTCACCCTCCTGTCAGCCCCACTGCGCTCTGCCATGCCATGCTCATGCCATACCATACCATGTCCCGCCATACCATGCCATACCATGCCGTGCCATACCAGTCATGCCATACCGTGCCATACCATGCCATACCATACCATGTCCTGCCATACCGTGCCATACCATGCCATACCATGCCATGCCATACCAGTCATGCCATACCGTGCCATACCATGCCATACCATGCCATACCGTGTGCCATACCATGCCATACCGTGCTATGCCATGCCATGACATAGCGTGCCATGACATACCGTGCCATGACATACCGTGACATACCATACCATACCATACCATACCATACCAGGTTGACACCCATGCCAGCTATGCCATGAATAAAAAATGCAACCCACTCTGACTCCGCCTCTCATCTTCCTCTCATCTGTCTCTCATATGCCTCTCATCTGCTCTGTTCCCACCTTTCCCCTTCTCTCCTCTGAAACACTCCTGGCTGCTTGGGGCGTGGCATGGCATGGCAGCAACCTGTGCAAGAACCAGTTCACAGGGCCCATCCCAGGCGACTGGAGCAGGATGACTCAAATGGCCACCCTGTGAGTGCTCGCCCCCTCCCTCTGAGTGCTCGCTCCCCTCCTCCCTGTGAGTGCCCCCCTTTCACTGCCACCCTGTGATTGCTCCCCTCACTCCCACCCCTGTGAGTGCTCCCTACTCATTGCCACTGCACTGCTCACTTCTGTCGAAACACTGACTGCATGCATGCCACCATACGAGTAGCGTGGTTTCCACCTACCCACCGTCCCCACTCTCCATCCCCCGTACCTGCGTGCCTGCGTGCGGGCATGAGCAGGCGCCTGTCGTCCAATCAGCTGGCAGGGGAGGTGCCCTCGTGGCTCGGCTCCTGGCCCAAGATCGTTGTGCTGTGAGTGCGCTTCCTTCCTCCCACCTCACTGCATTCCTGCCTTTCTTTTCTCGCACTGCACCACACCACACCACACCACACTGCACTGCCTAACCGTCTCGTCAACGTATCCCTTGTTAATCAGCCACTCCGCGCCGTACCCCACCCACCCACCCCCCAACGGCGGCGCGACGCCAGGGAGCTGTTTGGCAACAAGCTGGGCGGCTACATCCCGCAGGACCTCGCCCAGGCCACCACGCTCGACTCTCTGTGAGCGCCTTGCTGCCCTCTCGTCCCCACCCACATCACCACGCTCGCAACCTTGTGAGCGTTCCTTCTTCCCTTCCTTGTTGCTCCCTTCACTCGATGTCCACGTCGCTCTCACTGCGCCCACCAGCCCCTCACTCACCTCACCCACTCACTTCACCCACTCACTCACCTGTGCCTCTCTCCCATCGGCCTCCCCTCGGCGTCCCCACGGCCTCCCCTCTTCGTCCCCTGCTGTGCGCGCCACCCTATACCGCCATTCGCTGCACCTGGAAGAGCGCTGGACGTGAACGAGCTGCGGGGGTCGCTGCCAGACTCCTTCAGCCGCCTAACCAACCTCAGAGAGCTGTCAGTCACGCCATCTTCCCATCCTTACTGCTCCTTGCTGCTCCCTGCTGCTCTCTGTTGCTCAGGGAGTTTTTGGTGCTGTTCTAATCCTTCGTTCCACCCGTTTCACCCATGCCATCCCTGTCATTTTCTACATTCTGTTTGCTACACGGAGCTGTTTCTCTTTATGCTAACATGATTCCCTTGTGCTGCATTCATGCATGTGTGGGCGGGCATGTGTGTGCGGGAATGGTGCATGGATGGGTGGCGGGGAGCAGGTACGTGTCGAGCAACAAGCTGGACGGCAGCATCCCGGCATCCTACAGCACTCTCACCCAGCTGCGATTCATGTGAGTGAGCTGCCATTCATGTGTGAGCTGCATGCCACACGCGCATGCATGCAGTGCAAGCACAAGGTGCCGGCATCACATCACGTGCATGCACGAGCTCACATCAAGCTGCCTTAAGCAACCTCTTTCCTTGCATCATCATAATCCTCTTTTTGTCTCACGTCTATGCTTCCTTGCGTCTGTGTCTTTGTCGTCTTTCTCACCCGGTGCGTGGCGCCCTGCAGTGATGTGAGCTACAACGCTGGGCTGGGCGGCCCCATCCCCGCCTTCTTTGGTGACTTTGACAACCTGGCGTCCATGTGAGTCAATGAGGGTCAATGGAGTCAATGCCAGTCAGTGTTAGTCAATTGAGTGGTTGCAAGTCAAAGCCAGTCAATGCAGTGAACATGAGTGTAAGTGAGTCACTGCAGCCCACGAGATGGCAAGTCACAGGCCACCACACTCACCTCACCACCATCACACCACCACCCAAACTCCACCCCCCTCCCCTCCCACCCCCCCATCTCCCCCTCCCCAGTGCGATGCAGTTCTGCTCCTTCTCAGGCCCGCTACCCCCGTCGCTAGGCAACCTGGTGCACGTGCAGGAGGTGCTGCTGGACAACAACCAGCTGAGCGGGCCCATCCCGGACGAGTGGGGCGCGGGGCTGGAGCGAGTGGAGGTGCTGCACCTCAACGACAACCAGCTCAGCGGCACCATACCGGGCACGTTCTGCCACCTGGAGTATGCCAAAGACGTCAACCTCGCTCTCAACCGCCTGCAGGGGCCCATCCCCATCTGCCTCACCTCGCTGCGCCGCATCTCCTCCCTGTGAGCGCATCTCCTCCTCCCTGTGAGCGCATCTCCTCCCTGTGAGCGCATCTCCTCCCTGTGAGCGCATCTCCTCCCTGTGAGCGCATCTCCTCCCTGTGAGCGCATCTCCTCCCTGTGAGCGCATCTCCTCCCTGTGAGCGCATCTCCTCCCTGTGAGCGCATCTCCTCCCTGCCGTTAGACTCACCAATCTGTCGCCTCCCATCCCATCTCTTGCCACCCGTGCACTGCACCACCTCTGCTTAGTAACCCTCCACCATCGCTCACCCAGAGTTCAACCTTGTTCTGTTCCTTCACCCTCTCTCCCCTTGCATCCCCCTCACCCTGTGTTGTGCACCACCCTCTCCTAGAGTGCTCTCCTTCAATCGACTCACGGGCCCCGTGCCGCCTGTGCCAGCTGGCGTGCAGGTCTTCTTCAAGTGAGTGCCAGCTGGCATTGCACATTGCACAATTGTCGCAAGGGATCGCTGCCAGCTGGCATGCCTAGCCTGCTGATGCGTGAAGCTCATTGCTGCTGCTGCGAGCATAGTATTTCGTGCTGTTGCTGCTCGTCCTCGCATTGAAGTGAAATGCTCTCATTCCTCTCAACCTACTCGTTCTCTTTGTTGGCGTTTCATTGCACGGCATGGCATGGCATGACATGGCACGGCATGGCACGGCATGGCACGGCATGGCATGGCACGGCATGGCATGGCATGGCACGGCATGGCATGGCATGGCACGGCATGGCATGGCATGGCATGGCATGGCATGGCAGGGTGAACGGCAACTGTCTAGACGGAGTGGAGGACCAGCAGTCGCCCTGCCCCGCCCCCGATGAGCTTCCCCCTCCTGCCCCCACCCCACCCGAGCAGCCACAGCAGGAGGAGGCAGCACCATCGAGCTCATGTGAGTGCTGCATGCTGGCATGCTGGCATGCTGGCATGCTGCCATGCTGCCATGCTGCCAGCGGAACTGGTTCTGACAGGCAGGGTTGTACTGCCCCACTTACTCATCCCACATGCCACATGCATATCCCACATGCCACATGCATATCCCACATGCCACATGCATATCCCGCATGCCACATGCATATCCCACATGCCACATGCATATCCCACATGCCACATGCATATCCCACATGCCACATGCATATCCCACATGCCACATGCATATCCCACATGCCACATGCATATCCCACATGCCACATGCATATCCCACATGCCCACATGCATATCCCACATGCCACATGCATATCCCACATGCCACATGCATATCCCACATGCCACATGCATATCCCACATGCCACATGCATATCCCACATGCCACATGCATATCCCACATGCCCACATGCATATCCCACTTGCCACATACATATCCCACATACCACATGCCATCCACTTGATAGCCGCAACTCCATCCCTGCTTTTTAAAGCAGCAAACCTCTCTTTCTCCCCACCCCACCTGGTACGCGCATGTCTCTTGTCTCATCCCCACCAGCCACATGGTCATGGATGAGGGGATTCCTCATAGCGCTACTATCAGCCACCTTCGTGCTGCTGCTCATCTTCGCCTTTGTGCTCCTTGCCAACCGCTCCGACTCCCACAACGCCTCCCGCTCCGACAACTGTCAGTGCCCCTCCCCTGCCACACTGCCCCTCCCCTGCCACACTGCCCCTCCCCTGCCACACTGCCCCTCCCCTGCCACACTGCCCCTCCCCTGCCACACTGCCCCTCTCCCCTGCCACACTGCCCCTCCCCTGCCACACTGCCCCTCCCCTGCCACACTGCCCCTCCCCTGCCACACTGCCCCTCCCCTGCCACACTGCCCCTCCCCTGCCACACTGCCCCTCCCCTGCCACACTGCCCCTCCCCTGCCACACTGCCCCTCCCCTGCCACACTGCCCCTCCCCTGCCACACTGCCCCTCCCCTGCCACACTGCCCCTCCCCTGCCACACTGCCCCTCCCCTGCCACACTGCCCCTCCCCTGCCACACTGCCCCTCCCCTGCCACACTGCCCCTCCCCTGCCACACTGCCCCTCCCCTGCCACACTGCCCCTCCCCTGCCACACTGCCCCTCCCCTGCCACACTGCCCCTCCCCTGCCACACTGCCCCTCCCCTGCCACACTGCCCCTCCCCTGCCACACTGCCCCTCCCCTGCCACACTGCCCCTCCCCTGCCACACTGCCCCTCCCCTGCCACACTGCCCCTCCCCTGCCACACTGCCCCTCCCCCTGCCACTCTCCTCCCGCTCCCTATCTGCCCCTCCCGCTCCCACTCTGCCCCTCCCGCTCCCTCTCTGCCCCTCGCGCTCCCACTCTGCCCCTCCCTCTCCCACACTGCCCCTGCCTCTCTCACACTGCCCCTGCCTCTCTCACACCGCCCATCTGCTCATGCTCCACGCATCTCCTCATCCCACGCTCTACGTGCTCTCCTTTCATCCCTTATTCGTATCCTTCCGCTTCTCCCTTCCGCGTCTCTCCCTTGCCTCTCTCACCTTCTCACCCCCCCTGGCCTCCCCAGCTCGCCCCCTCCCTCGTCCTTGCGACCAGCATTGCTGCGGGAGCTGAGCCATTACACACCAACCAACCAGCCCGCTCGACTCCTCACGCCACTCACAAGCCAACCTCAAAGCCCCCTTCCCCCTCTCCTCTCCCATCCCCCGCGGACAGTGCAGGAGTGCAGCGTGGGCAAGGTGACTTGGGTCAACTCATAAGCTCACCACCCTTCCCTCTCCCCCCATGCGCTGGTGCAGTGGCGGTGCAGGAGTACAGTCTGGGCAAGATCAAGAAGGCCACGCGCAGCTTCACCACGGTGTACGGGCGGGGAAGCTTCGGCACCGTGTACCTGGCCGAGGACTTCCTCAGAGACCAGATTGAGACGCGCGCCATCATCAAACGCGCCCACGACCCCGAGAGTGAGATGGCGGAGCGTGGGAGGGTGACATGGGGACGGTGTGAGTGGGTTGGGGGAAGGTTTGAGTGAGTTTGGGAAGGGTGTGAGAGCAAGATGGGTGGAAGGAGAGTGGGATTGAGATGACATGGGTTGCAACTTGCAAGTGAGTGGGGGAATCAATTGAGATGCCAGGATTGCCCTCTCTTCACCTCCTCACCATGCCTCTTCACCATCCTCCCCTCATTGCCCCCCCAACATCCTGCCCCTGCCACGTCAACCCCCCACCATCCCAACCGCCCCCCCTCGCAGAGCTGGGAGAGTACGTGTTCAAGGCGAAGGCGGACTTCCTGGCGAGGGTGAGGCACCGCAGCCTGGTGGCGCTGCTGGGGTTCTGTGTGGGCAAGGGCGAGCGCATCCTCGTCTACGAGTACCTCCCCAACGGCTCCCTCTACGACCGCCTCCACCGTCAGTGCCCTACCCCTGCCCTCTCCCCCTGCCCCCCTGGCCCTCTGCCCCTATGCATCCTTGCCCTGCCCCTCCTGCCCCCCTCCTGCCCCTCCTGCCCCTCCTGCCCTCCGCCCTCCGCCCACTGCTCTCGCATTGCAAGCATTGTCTGCCGTGGAATGCTGTGAGCCATGTGCGCTGATGCCATCACTCCATCGCGTGGCCCCTCCCTCCGTCGCCAGCACTCGCTAGTTCCCAGCAGATGCTCTCACCAACCCCCCCCAATCTCACTGTTATCCCGCCTGCCAAGATTCTGCTTCTGTTATTCCTGTACCTGCACTTATCCCGCATCCCTCCCATTCCCTCTCAAATTCCCCCCACCCCTGCCCACCCCACGGCACCGCGTGCGAGCAGGGCCGGACCTGGAGCCGATCCCGTGGGACACGCGGGTGCGCATTGCGGCGAACGTGGCGTCGGCGCTGAGCTACCTGCACCACTGCTGCCACCCGCCCCTCGTGCACCGCGCCGTCACCTCCTCCAACATCCTCCTCACCTTCGACATGTCCGGCAAGGTTTGTCCACATCTCGCACGGTGCTGTGGCATGTGGTGGTGTGATTACTTCATGCATAGAAAGCAGCATCATTCCCCTTCGCTCCTCCTGCTGTCCCTCATGCCCACCGTCCATCTCCCCCTCTCCCCTTCTCCCCCCATCCCACCAGCTATCTGACTTTGGTCTGGCCCGAGGCGGCTCCCCTGCCGTGTTTGACGACGGCTCCAAGCGCCGCCGCCCCACCAAGCCCGCGCGCACACGCAGCGGGGGGGTGGCGGAGGGCGAGGGGAGTGAAGGCGGGGAGGGGGGGGAGGAGGGGCAGAGCGCCCTGCAGGGGGGCGAGTTGGAGAAGGTGGATGTGTATGGGTTCGGAGTGGTGCTGCTGGAGCTGATCACGGGGCAGAAGGCCATGAAGGAGGTCCACATCACCAGCCTCGTGCGTCCGCCCCTCCGCCCTGCTCCTCCGCATGTTGCTTCAATGCATGGCTGCTGCTTGCACACCACTCTCCTCATGCACCAATCACCATGTGGTTCCACATCTGCAAGTGCTTCACCCGCATGATCCTTACCTCCCTCTCTCCTCTGCCCCTAAACCTGCCCCCTTGCCCTTATTTCCTGTTGCAGGCGGCACCGTTCCTGGAGGACGCGCAGATGATGCCGCTGATGGTGGATGCGGCACTGGGGGGGTTCTTCGACCAGGCGGAGCTCATCGCACTCGGCACCATCGCCCGCGACTGCGTGAAGGAGGACCCGTCGGCGCGCCCCTCCATGCGCGATGTGGTGCGCACCATGCAGGCGCAGCTCGACCTCGAGGCCGACCTCTTTGCCGCACCCGCTGGTGTGGCTGGCACGGATGACCTGGACCGGGGAGACGGGGGCGATGGGGTGGCCAACTCGAGTGGATACGCACCGGTGGGCGGCAAGAGTGCGCTGGCCTCTGCATGGGTGTCGTTGGAAAATGTTGCTTCCTCTGTCCGCACGGCCCTGACCAGCCCCCGGTTGGCGCCGCCACATCCCGCCGGCGAGAGCACAGCTGATCCCACGGATGTGGAGATGTCCTCGCTGTTGCTCATTGCGCCTCGTGCTGCACGCCGGTAGTTTCACCAAGACACTCACATCAGCTCTGTTGTAGAGTATTTATTTAGCTGCACCTATTGATGTGCAGTCATGTTAGTATTTCTATTGGATCTCCTTCCTGCTGTGTACAATATGGAATGACATTGTGCATGGTAGAATCTTAGCACGATTTAGATCTACACAGCCAGCGGATTCATTCCAGAATGTAACAAACAGTGACGGTTGTGTTTGTCCAGATTATGATTGCCACATCGCGGACCAATCTGCGATCGCGAAAACAACTGACGAAGTGATGTTGCCACCAACCATCTCATGATGCCTCTCTACTCGACTCGAGGCATCCGAGCCATCTTCTGGTTACTCCACCGCACATTCCGCTATTTTCGCCTGCCCGGTCCCACACAGACTCGATTCGAGCTCGCTGTGTGTGGCTGTGGTGGAGCGCTTTTCGCTTGTTGGGCTGCCCGTCCCTCGTCACTTGTATGGTGAGGCGAGGGAGGCTGCCCTCTCGGAAATCCCAAAGCAGCAAACACAACTCCCACCATGACTGCCTCCTTTCCGTCTCCATCCACAACACATCCCGTGCCCATGCTGCTCGCTGGATGCACTAATATCTGGCCCGTCAGCTCTCTAACCTAAGCAGCATCGCTGCCATACGACCGGAGAGTAACCAGGTTTTAGAAGCTTCTGTTCCACTGTTCTCGACATTTAAGTTCCGCCATCATCCCTTTGCGTCTTCCGAGCGAGCACCGCCATAGTCGCCATGGACGTGAGGCATCAAGCGGCGCGATTCGAAATCAACGAATTGCGTCGCTGCATGAGCACGTCGCTCGACAAGCTGGTTACCACCACGCCGTCGGTGCGTTTCGCCGACGAGGTCGTCGACCTTGAGGCGGAGGCGGGTCCGCCGCAAGTCACGTTCGGGCGGTCCACGTCGTTCACGTCGCACAGCTCCTCCGGCGAGACGGAGGCGGCGAGGCGGCTGGCGGTGCGTCTGCTGATCGGCGGCGCCAAGGAGGAGGGCGGCGGGGAGCCGCAAAAGGAGGGGCGCGAGCGACGCCGTCGCCACGGCAGCAGCAGCGGCGGTCGCAGCAGTGGCAGCGGCAGCGGCAGCGGTAGCGGCAGCGGCAGCGGCGGCGGTGGCAGTGGGGAGGCGCGAGGGTCGTGGCAGAAGCACCGTAGCTATTCGCTGAACCAGGAGTGGTCGGGGGGGAAGCCCGTGTCGCGGTCCAGTGGGGGCGGCTCGGAGACGGAGAGCGCAGACGGATCGAGCAAAAGCGAGAAGCGATCGTTGGCGAAGGAAGTTACAGCGCTTCGACGACAGCTCGCGGAATTTCAAGCTGCGAATCAGGACCTTCTAGGTAAGCGGCGTTGCAGACGGGGCAGAGCACGAGGTGTGACAGAGCACGGGGTGTCGCTGTGGCAGTGCTGCATGCGTGCGTCTCCGAGTGCATGTTTGATGCAATCTCGCCCGCGGATTGCGGAATGAGCGCTGCCAGCGCGAATTCGCGTCGCACCTGCCTTGTCGGATAGCAGCTCTGAATTCGTGCACGCTTTACTGCTCTTTCTCGCCGTCACGCGCCCTCTCCTTCTTAACCCTCCTCACACCTCTCTTCTCCACACCCTCTCCTTCAACACACGCTCTCCTTGCCCACACCCTCTCCTCCTTCCCCACACCCTCTTCTCCTTCCCCACACCCTCTCCTTTCCCACGCCTTTGTGCTGCATCCAGTTATCCCCTCAGCACCCCCTTCCTCCTGCCCACTCCCCTGCATCCTCACTCCTCCACCTCCCACTTTCCACCTCCCCACTCACCTCCATGTTGGCCAATCTCCATTCCCCCACTTTCCTCCACCCCCCCACTTTCCTGCAAACCCCCATTCCCCTCCATCTTCTCACCCTCACTCTCTTTCACCTCCCGCTCTCTCGTTTCCTGCAGCCCTCCCAATCCCCGTCTGCACCCTTACGCTATTCTCAGCCCCCAACATATCCCTCTCTCCCTTCCAAAGAAGCACCCCACGGGCCCACCCCACCCAACCTCCCTCCCTCCCGCCGCCCCCCCCCCAACCAACCCCTTTTTCCCCCTGGCCAGACGAGCTGGACCGCAAGTCGCTGGCGGTGGCGGCAGCGGAGGAGGCGGTGAGGGACGCGCGGGCGGAGCGGGATCTGATGGCGGCGGAGATGGAGGCGGCGCTGGGCACGTGGACGCTGGCGGTGGACGAGGCCAAGGAGGCGGCGCACGCGGCGGAGGCGGCGAGGGAGCAGGTGGCGGAGCTGGAGACGGAGAACAAGCGCCTGTGGCAGCTCGTGGAGCTCATTCTTGAGCAGAAGGACAAGGCCGCGCTGGACGGCGCTGATGGCGCTGGCAAGTTCGACCCCACCACCAATGCACGCATCATGTGAGTGCCCTCGCTGGCTCGCGGGGTGTGGGTGTGTGGCGCTGCCCATGTGCTCAGTGTGTGAGTCGTTGGCACGCAAGCTCTGTGCCTGCCTGCCGTGGAGTGCGGGAGAGCAGGGTCGTTTCACTGGCACCCACTCCTGGTTCCTTCCCAGTTTGTAGTTGGTGCTTATTTGGTCTGTCCCGGGTGGTGCTGCCATTCACTGTGCCTGTGGCATGCACTCGGCTCACCCGCCCTCACTACCCGCCCTCCCCACCCGCCTGCCGTGTCCATGTGTGGTGCTTCCAGGAAGGTGCTAGAGTCGGTGAAGAAACCGAGTCACAGGAGCTCGCCGTCCCCCAGCCGCCCGGCCACGGGCAGCAGCAGCAGGCGGGGGGCAAGTGGGGGGTCGTCGGGATCCAAGGCGGCAGGGGACTCGGAGAGGGCAGGCGAGTCGGGCTCTCGCAGCAGCAGATCGTCATCGTCCAAGCAGGTCCGCTGGTGACCCCCCTGCTGTGCGCCCTCAACCCGCGCCCCACGTGCCACACACTTCCCAGCCTCAGACACTGCCCACGAGGCTCGCGTGCGTACTACACCAGCACTCCACTGCTTCACAACACAACGCTTTGTTGATAGTTATATAGGAAGAGCCCTGTGCTTGCTCATGGGGGTAGAGTGTAGGAAGAGCTGTGCAGCTGATTCATTTTCTCTTCCTTTTTTTCGGGTCTAGGATGTTGTAGAAGCTGTTGTAGCAAAGCCGTTTAGCTGTGTGAAACTGTGATAACATAGGCTGCTTTGCATCCAGATTCATCGTAAGATAATTGAAAATGGGAGTGCATCGATATGCACAATTCCTGTGGAATCTGCGTTACCCTATCCGGCGAGAAAATAGGCAACAAGCGATCCCAATCACGATTTCATCCCACCAGCTGCCCCGCGCAAATCTGCTTTTGAGGCAATTTCAGGTCGCATTTCACATTGGCCCTGTTCGCCACGCCTTTGCTGGGCCTTCAGAGGGATGGGCGGGGGCTCTGGAATCCGCCCTGCACCTTCGAAAAGGGGTGAAATCAGGGTTTTAGGGCCGGTCAGACCGACAAAATCCTGTCGAGCCTGACGATCCCCTCCGAACCTCGGAGGGCTCGCCCTCGTGGCGAACACCCACTTTTCTGGGCCATCGAAGGGATGGGCGGGGGATCTAGAATGCGCCTGGCAGTTTCCTGTCCTGCCAGCTCGGAACCCCATCCCCTCCATCGACTCTCCCTCGTGCAGACCACCAATTTCGTAGGCGCCTAACGGGATGGCCGGGGGATTTGAGGGCAGGGTAAACGCCAACCTGTCACCAGAACCGGCCCGGAACAACAAATTTTCGCCCTCCCGAGTGATAAGACAGCTGCTTCAAGTTCACGGAACCCTAAACGCAACTGTGAAGGACCTTTTCTTTTTTCGACACTTTTTACCCGGGCTGATTTGTTTCTTTTTTTCTCTGGTTGTGGATCAGAGGCGGGAAAAAAAGTCCCGCCCTAAACGAAGGTGGGGGGGGAGGTGCCAGATCCCCTTGGCCCCCTTCCGGATCCCTTTGGAGAAATTTCCATTCGGGGCGAGCCCCCGGACGTAGTTCGCATCTTCCGGCGCACCTTTCTGGAGCCCTCGCCCATCCCCCGCCCCTTGCCTATATCGTGGTCGTGGCGAACAGGGCCATTGCCGCGACGGGCTCCATCCCTGCGCACTGCGTGCTCTCCGCCTTCCTTTCGCCTCCAGCAGCCGTGCGCTTTACGCGTGTCCCGTTGTGCCTCTCCCCCTCCCCCCCGTCGCGTGTGGCCATGCCCGCTTCAACTCTCCCATTCTCCGCGCCGCTCGCCCGGCTGTCCGCTCCGCTCTCCTCCTCCCACTCCCTCTCTCGCACGGCGCCCCTTCTCCCTTCTCTCCCGCCTCTCGATCTTCGCTCCTCCCTCCGCCTCTCGCGCTCCCCCACGCCCGCGCTACACTCCGCGCCTTGCCACACTTCACGTTCCTCCCGCTGTTCTGCTGGCGAGGGTATGGCGACGGCGTCGCAATCGCCGCCTGAAGCGGGCAGCACGCCACGTGTCATCAAGCTGGAGGCGATCCCGCTGAGCCGCGAGGCGTTCGCGCCGTTCGGCGAGGTGGTGGAGCCCGCGGAGGACGGCGTCGCGTTCGGCGCGGCGGACGCCGCCCTCGACCTCTCGCAGGGCGCGCCCAGGTGAGGAAGGGGGGAGTGGCGGGGACGAGGAGCCGAGGTGGGGAGCGCGGAGGTGAATTTGAGGCGCTGGCGGAGAGGCGGAAAACAGGAATGCGATGCAAGAGTGGGAGGGGATGGGCAGTGCGGTGGGCGTCACTCTAGGCGCGCTGATGGGCAGGCAATGCAGTAGCGGGCGAGGGCGTAGCGAGGGCCCCTGGCAGGCGTGTGAGCGAGCGGCAGTAGCGGGGCTGCCATGATGGGCAAGGCGCGCTGCATAGCGCCATCCCACGAGTATCCACCCCCTCCTCCTCCCATGCGCCCGCGTGAGGGCACGCGTTGCACCCTCGCATCGCCCCAGACACACCTTTGCCACTCCAACACTTTCTTGCCGCTCCTGCCCCGTCCCCCTCCCCCTTCCCCCTGCCCGCCCCCCAGGGTGTACATAATGCGGCTGAGGGACCGGCGGCTGGGGTTTGGCAGCATCACGCACCACGCGCGCGTGACGCAGTGCCTGGGCGCCGTGGGCGGGCAGCCGTGGTTCCTGGGCGTGGCGCCGCCCTCCCTCGTGCAGGATGGGGAGGGCCGTGAGGGTGGTGGCGCTGATGGGTAAGCAGGGGGCAGTGGCGGGGAGTGCGAGGGGCGTTGCAGTGCGAGAGGAGGCGGTGAGAGGCATAGGGGAAGAGGCTAGTGGAGGTCCAGTGTGTGTGCTGGCTGCGTGTGTGTCAGCTCTGCCGTTCCTCTCTGCCCCCTTGGGATTGCCGCCACCTCATGCTCGCCGTCCTTCACTTCCCCCCCTCCCTCCCTTCCCCAACCCCCACGCTTCCCACTGTGCTCGCCACCTTGTGCACATGCCGCACCAACCACGTATCCACCACACACCATCGCTCATTCCCTGCTCCTCCTTGCCCTCGCCCCCTTCTCATGCGTGCACTGGCCCTGGCCTCCGTCTCTCTCTCCCTGCCTCCCTCCCCCCTCCTTCACACGGCGGGCAGCAGGGCGGTGAAGCAAGGGGCGGCAGGGCAGAGGTACCGCCCTCCCGAGGTGGGGGCGGTGAGGGTGTTCCTTGTGGAGGGCGCAGTGGTGGTGAAGCTGCACGCCGGCACGTGGCACGCTGGCCCGCTCTTCACCGCGCCGTGCATGGACTTCTTTAACCTCGAACTGCATGACACCAATGTGCGCGGGGAAGGGGGTGGTGGGGGAGTGGTGAGGGGTGGTGGGGAGTGTGGAAGGGTTAGTGTAGACACCTCATTCATGCACCTGCTGTTCTCCATCTCCCACCCTATGCACCTCATACACATGCATGGCCCTGCCCTTGCTTCGTGTGTGTGCCCCTTGTGTGTCTCCCAGCCTAACCTTCACATGGCACAGGTTTTCTGAAACTGTCTGTTCGCCATCCCCTGTACCCACTTGCACTACCCTGCACCCCCTTGCTCCCCCCTGCACTCCCTTGCACCCCCATGACCCCCAGGTGGTGGACCACACAACGCACAGCTTTGCTGACAGCAACGGTGTGGTGTTTGAATTTGACGATGCACGATCGTGACACGCTTGTGACGAATGGTCTGCTTGCACCCACCCTATGTGCAGCGTCTGTCGCACATCACTGTAGACCAGACCAGGCCCAGGGCCTCAGATTCATTTTTTAAGTACGGTACCCCTGAATTATCATTGTCGATGTGAGAATAAAGGTTGATTGACAGCCTTCTTAAAGCCGTTGGCCCAAATTGCACAAGTTTTTAAAAGATGACGAGGGGGAGTTTTACTGGTTTGAGTTTTGGCGAATGTTTCCGATTTCGTTAAATTCGTTTTTTTCGCCCAACCAAGCCAGCCGCACGTTTTTACCCTGGCGGGTGTGTCAGACTTCGAAAGTCCCAAATTGCAGTGTTAGAACTAGGAGCTAGGTGAATGTCGATTACCGTCATCGCTCGGAATAAGACATATATGTCTTATCTCATACACTAAAAAAATGCTTGGGTTATCTTGTATTTGGGGAGGTTTTGGGTGTCTTATACCGTAAGTCTTATAAATGGAAACTTTTTTAAACTACTTCGAAATATTTTCACACATCTTGAAAAGAGTTTCTCATTATGAGTGTGGATGTTGCGAAGGTGCCACTTCGGCAACCATTGTTCGGGGTGCCACGTCATGGAGAATACTTGCAAAGGCAAATTTGGTAGTACGTGAGTCAGCACGTGGCAGAATTCGCGTGTCGCAAGGGTAAAAATGTATGCGGTACTTCAATTTTCACTATAATATATTGCAGTTTTGATTATAAGACACATATGTCTTATCTCGTACACACAAATAGGTGTCTTATAATGAGGCTAGCCTGTTTATAAGAGACACCCGTATAATAGACAACCCCTGTCTACTATTCAAGACTGTCTTATATCCGGATGATGACGGTAGGTAAGAGGGAGGGAATACAAGACTATCAAGAGAATTGGGTTGTACCCTCTAAGGAATGACCCCTACACAACCTAGAGTGAAATAAACAGAACTATATGTATTGACACACCCCCATAGGGTGAAGTAGGGGATAGCCAAACCTAACAGTGGTCACAACAAGACCAGTCAAGCAGGAGAACAAGCAAGGCAAAACCCACGGTGGATCTCAAGGACACCACACAATCTGAACACAAGCAGGCGGCCACAAGGCCAGTTTACATGCAGATATATAATAGCAAGGTAGTACACCAATCACAACCTAGCAAGAGTAAACATGTAGGTATAAAGAGATATAGCAGTGTACAACAAGAGCAAGTCAAGCAACCAGCAGGTGAGGCAGAGTGGGCACAAGCCCAAGAGCAATGCAGAAACGTTGATGATCACCAGACCCAAGGGCCTTGGTGTAGACATCAGCAGTGTTGGCCCGAAAGGCCACGTAAGCAAGGCGCAGCTGACCACGCTGCTGCAGCTCACGCGCAAGGAAGTAGCGAAGAGCAATGTGCTTTGTTCTGTGCTCCAGTCTCTGCCCGCGACACAAGGCAAGCATTGCCTTGTCGTCGACGTATAGAACTGGAGGAGAACGAGGCCGCTCCCCCAAGTCGGTCAGCAGGTAGGTCAGCCAGCGGAGCTCCTGTGCAGCCATGGCCCCAGCGTAGATCTCGGCCTCACAGCTGGAACCAAGCATAGAAGAAGAACGAGTGGACCTCCACGAGACAGAACCAGAGTCAAGACTGAAGGTGTAACCCTGTGACGAACGCTGAGTCGCCTGGTCGTCGGCCCAAGAAGAGTCAGAGTGTCCTGTGAGGACCACCGAACCCCGTCCTCCAAGCACGAGCCCCATGCCCGATGTGCTACACAAGTAACGCAGTACCCTCTTCGCAGCATCAAAGTGCACCTTTCGGTGTCTACCGGGTGCCACGTAGCGAGCCAGAAGGCTGAGAGGGTACGCGAGGTCAGCTCGTGTGCACGTCATCAGGTACATGAGGCAACCCACAAGCTCTGGGTACGGACCACTCGGCTCTACGGACTCGTCCGAAGGTGGAGCTGAGAGCGAGTGGCCGGTAGCTAGAGGAGTGGGCTGTGGCGAGGAGTACGTGAAGCGGAAGCGCTGAAGGACCTGGTGCACCATGTGTGACTGAGTCAGGGTGATGGTGCGCCGTGCTCTGACCCGGGTGATCTGCAAGCCAAGATAGCTCCGCAGCTTACCTAGGTCAGTGCAGGTGTGTCTCTCCTGTAGCTCCGCCTTCACTAGGGCCAGTGGCTCTGTGTCAGCAGTAGCAAAAACCAAGTCGTCAATGTACACGAGGATGTAGAACGGCGGCAGAGAAGTGTCGGTGCGTAGAAACAGCGACGGGTCAGTTGTCGAAGGAGCAAACCCAAGAGTCGCAAGTGTCGAACTCAGTGTGTCGTGCCACTCACGGGGCGCCTGACGCAGGCCGTACACTAGTCGCCGTAGGCTCCACTGGGTACCCTCATGAAACGACCCAGTGAAGCCCTGTGGACGGCGCAACCAGATGGCCTCGTGAAGGCTACCCTGCAAGAAAGCTGTCGAGAAGTCGAGGGAGTGCAGCTCGTAGTCACGCTGAGCCGCAACGTGTAGCAACACCCGAAGATTGGTCATCTTCGGGGTGGGGGAGAAGTTCAGAAAGAAGTCGACCCCTTCACGCTGACTGAAGCCTCAAGCAACATAACGTGCCTTGTGTCAACGGGAGTTGGGTGTTGGCCCCGTCCTCGCTTGGGCGGAGCCGACTTCGTGGTCGGGTGTGAGGGGAGCAGCCGACCTGCAGCAGTGGGTGAGCTGGTCGACGAGGAGGTCGACCTGCACGGGGGACCACTGCACGGGCGCCAACTTTAGGGTGGCGCCGACTTCGGGGAGGTCGACTTGGGAGTCGACCTGCAGAGGACGTCGAAGCCGACTTCGGCGGTCGGCTAACGGACCGCTAGTCGACCTGCGGGTGGTCGACTGGACCTGGTGGTCGACGAAGGAGGGACCGACGTCGACCTTTACGCAAGACACCGAGCAGTCGGGCGTCGAGTAGCGGGGCGTCAACTTCGTGACGTGCTTCGGGCGGCCGACGTGGGTGGTCGGCCGACGACTGTGCTGGTCGACGTGGAGGTGGTCGTCGACTTGGGAGGTCGACGGGCACGTACGGGAGCTGCTGGTCGACATGGTTGCTGGGTCGACCAGGTTACCTGGGTGGCGAAGTGCTGCGGAGGAGTGCGACGGTCGCCCAGGCGAAGTTGGCGAGCCCGACCTTGGTGATGGTATCCTGAGGTCGACGTGGCCGATCAGAGGCAGTCGTCAGCTCGAGGTTGACGTGGTGTTGTGCGCTGTGTAGGTGACGAGGCTCTGCACGCCAATCACCTGCACGCAACTGCAAAGCAGGGTGCACTGCTGTCCTGCGTGAGCAACGCTGTCTCGCCGTCAACCTGTGACGTTGGCACGCCGTCGACCTTGCCTTGCTGGAGCGCGGTCGACCAAGTCATGCTGGAACGCGGTCGACCAAGCTGCGCTGGCAGTTGGCCGACCTGAATGCTTGCTCTGATGTAGTCTTGCTATGCCAACTTCATTGTACCATTATTCTGAGGGTTTAGGGGTGAAACTCTTGCCAATTTTCCCCTGTGAACTAGCAAGTAGTGTGTGCACAAGGAAAACGACTAAGGAACAGAGAACGCAGAGATCACACGAGCACACGTGCCTAGCCCGTAGCCTAGCTCCCGTTGCTGCAGTTATCTCCGCATGGTGCGGTGAGCGTGGACGACACCGCGACGTAGCTCAGTCTAGCCGACTTAGCACATCCCGATCGTGTTCGTAGACCGGCAGCCGTGCAGTCACTAGCGTGCGCGTAGGCGACGCCGAGGTGATGGATACCCTGGAGGGACGGCTGGAGGATGCGAGGAGACGCCATGAGGCCCAGGAGTATGGGGCGATACCCTGGGCAGTCGTCGAAGCCGGACTCCGCTCCGTGTGGGCGGCGGAGCACCCCCCTTCTCGACTTGCCTCTCCTCGACCGGTGAACAACGACGGCGACGTCGACGTGGGTGTCAACGCCGGAGGAGGTCAGGTCGGCAGCAGTGCGGGAGGCACGTCGAGGCAGAGAGGTGTGATACACGCCGGTGAAGTCGGCGGCGTTCAGGCGCGAGGGATGCAGTCGTCGGCGGCTGCAGGCTCCTCGCATGGCGACGCTGGTGGGCGTCGAAGTGGGCTGTCGCCGATGTCGGCGTCCCAGGTGACGGCAGGTGGGATTGCACCGAGCTACGGCTACTTCAAATTTACGCCGGACAGGATCTCGGTCACCCCTCCGCTGGTCGGCCGACCCGACATTCTCACCTGGAAGGAAGCCATCGAGCCCCAGCTGGAGATGGCAGGGCTGATCGGCTTTGCCCGAGGAACCGTGGCGACGCCGGGGGAGCACCACCCCGACTTGCGGGCGGAGTTTCGCGCCGTGCAGCTGTTGACCTTCACGGTCATCTCGCGGTGCTGCTCGCCGGGCGTGCAGATCGCCTTGAAGTGGTGCCGGGAGTACCTCGACGCCGGCCACCGGGCGTGGCACTTCATTGAGTCGACGTACCAGGTCACCGACGACCTGTTCATCGCCCAGCTGGAGGGACAACTGACGCACCTGCGTATGGGTGACGAGGAGAGTGCGACCGACTACTGCAACCGAGCCAGGCGAATTCTCACCACCATCAGGATGGCCGGCGCGCAGTACTCCACGGCGTCGTACATCACCCATGTCATGCAGGGTCTCTCTAGCAGCTACAACCTACTGAAGCGGCTGTCTATGGCGCCGAGCACGAGGGCGACGCTCAACGAGGACAACCTGACCTCGTACATCCTGCAGGACGATGCGATGCAGGAGGCTGAGCGATCGCAGGAGCTCTTGGCGCAGGCCAACTTCGTCGCCCCGGCGAAGCAAGGAGGCCGACCAGGACAGCGCGGACAGTCAAGCGGCGGCGGGAGCGGTGGCTGGAAGTCGACCAAGGAGGTCGAGAAGAAGTCGACCAAGGACGGCGGTCGAGGAGGAGGAGGTCGACGTCGGGAGTGCTGGATCTGCCACAGCCCCGATCACCTCTCCTTCGAGTGTCCCGACC